TATTTCCATGACATGACTTGGGTAAATGATTGTTCCTTTTATCTCATACTGGATTTAAAGAGTTTAGTCTATACTGTTGAATTGGAACACAATCTCTGTCTTGTGTACTCTACCACTTAATCTTCCACCAAGATACACCATCACTCCCAGCAGCAGGGTTTATATGGCTCAGACTAGATGCTCTGAGACTTCTGGTACTAAAGTACCAGGCTCCTATTCAGTTATTCTAAATGAAAATGGCCCCCATAGAATCATAGGGAGTGGCACTACTAGGAAGTGTGGCCTTGTTGGAATAGGTGTAGCCTTGTTGGAGGGAGTAGCCTCCATGAGGGGTGGTCTTTGTGGTTCCAGATTCTCCAGCCAAGCCCAGTGTCACTCTCTCTTTCTTGCCTGGGGTTACTAATGTAGAACTCTCAGCTCCCTCCCCACCACCATGTCTGCCTGCATGTTACCATGCTTCCTGCGGTGATGACAATGGACTAAACCCCTGAAACTGTAAGCCAGCCCCAATGAAACATTTTCCTTTGTAAGAGTTGCCGTGGTCATGCTTTCTCTTCACACCAATAGAAACCCTAAGACAGACTTCCTATTCATGATTGACAACAATGGAGATGAACAAGTCAGTGTGGCCTCAGCACCTTTGGTATTCCAGAGAAATGCACCAAATGAATTACATACGATTTCAAAGGAAGCTCAGCTTATGAATCTCCTAAAGGGCAAAAGATCTGGGATTATGCTTACTAGCATAGCTTCAGAGTACAGTTACACATAATTACTAGTGTATTTTAAAGTGTCTGTAATGGGACTGGCGGTGGCCCTCGATGATAAGAGACACATACTACAGCTGCTATGGTTTGATGTCTATTTTCCTGATGGAAATGAAGTTTAGTTAGAGGTTAGTGAAAACAGACATTTCTCTCTACCTCCCCTGCCCCACAACTTCTCTCATTTCCTGATTCTAATCCTTAGATGACTTTGGAATTGCAGATCCCAAAGGAAAGATTCTAGATATGTAGCCATGGGTGTTTCCATAGATTGAGTACAGGAATAAATAGAGAGAGGGAGAGAACCAGGTCAACAGACTTCCTGAGTTAATTCTTACTGAGTCCTAAGCCTGGTCCTCAACAACCATTGAGAAGCTCAGTTTGTCTCAGGTCTTCCAGGTGGACCCTGCTTTTGGGACATTGATCTCTAAAAAGTAAAATCTCAAGGGGCTTACTGATATTAAACAAAAGCAGACAGAGTCTTGATTCTTTCCTTTCTGGTCCATGTGGCTACTCTACTTCTCCTTAGGAAAAGCTATGTTGAATGGACATATGTGTATATAGTATATAGAATATTAGTACTTAATTAGTTTTTTAGACAGAATCTCACTCTGTAACCCAGGCTGGCCTGGAATTCACTATGTAGCCCAGGCTGACCTGGAATTCACTATGTAGCCCAGGCTGGCCTGGAATTCACTATGTAGCCCAGGTTGGCCTGGAATTCACTATGTAGTCCAGGCTGGCCTCAAAGCCACTGCAATCCTTTCTGCCTCAGCCTTC